ATATTATATTAGCCTCTAATAAATGAGTCCAATCAGCTGAAAGAAAACATCACAGACTCCAGGACTCAAACACACTTTTATGAAGTATTTATATTTTTTATTGGTACTGATATTTACTTTTACTGTTTTACCAGAAACTAAAATAAATGATTTATACCGAGTCTCCAACAAAAAGTATGAATATGTAAAATATATGTGATAAATGATTTAAACTGGGTGATCATAGCTGCTGACCTTCATCATCATCATCATCAGTGCTCCACAGGGTCCAGACCTCAGAGCTGGCCCTGCTGGTCTGAATGGACCTAAACAAACCCTGGTCCCAGGTGGGTCTCCTAAAACCAGGTCCAGGTTTTTATTCACAATAAAAAATCTGTCTAAAGTGATTTATAAAAACTAAAATCTTAGATTAAAGTCAGAGGAAGAAACAAAACATCTGGATTAAAATAATCCAGATGTGAAGAAGAACAGAACAAACTTTGACTTTAATAAAACATTTTTATTTTCAGGTGTAAAATCTTAAAACATGATGATAATCTGACAGAATGAGCTGATCAGACGAGTCCTGGTTCTGGTTCTGGTTCTGACCTTTGAGCCCTCCTCAAACAGCTGAGCCCCTCAGACCTCCCTGACCTGGTCCTTCTGCATGTGGGTCAGCTCAGGACCAGCAGGGGGCGCGTGACGTCACCAGAAGCGTAGAAGAAGAAGCGGCTCAACGGCAGTCGGAGCACGTTAGCCTGTTAGCCTGGAAGCTAACATTTTGTGAAATGATGGTTCTGGTCTAAACGGTGAGTTCCGGTTCGGATGGAGGGGTTCTGGTCCGGCTCAGGTTTGCTCTGACTCTCTCTGTGGAGCCCAGTCTGATCCGGATCAGGCGCAGTTAGCTTTAGCTTAGCCTCAGCTGACTTCCGGTGTTAGCCGCTAGTTTAGCTCAGAGCAGCCGGTGAGAATCTGCAGGTGTTTTAACTTCCGGTCAGTGTTTACCACACAGGTGAGCTGTAAACAAACAAACAAACATCAGGAATAACTCATTTAAGGTCTCCGTCAGTGTTTCCTGACTGAACTGAAGTAAACAACAACAAACAGAAGGACATAAAGTCAGGTGTCCTCAGGTACAGGTGTGGGGCTCACCTGCCTGCAGCTCCTCAGGTGTTTCAGCTGAGCTGGAAGAAGATTCACTCTGGATGAACTGAGTCTGGAAGAAAGTTCAGGCTTTTACAAAGATGAAGTGAAACAGGTTAAACCAACTCTGAGTATTTTACCTGAGTTAAAACCATGGTAACCATGGTAACCAGATTTAACTTTGGAGGTTAAACAATATTCAGAATTCATGTCCATAAATACCAGTTAATAACATTTGTCTTTTTAATACGGACCAAGTGTGTGTTGATGGAAGCTCCACCCCTCTGTACAGGTTGTCATGTAAACTCCACCCCTCTGTACAGGTTGTCATGTAAGCTCCACCCCTCTGTACAGGTTGTCATGTAAGCTCCACCCCTCTGTACAGGTTGTCATGTAAGCTCCACCCCTCTGTACAGGTT